TGTGTTATATTATATTATTTTTTATAACTTATATCATATGACTACTTTTTTTTTCAGGAACGATAGATAATATTATAATCAAAAGCGCACAAATGTGCGAATACAAGAAGCCAAAGGCTGAAAGGTGGGAGGAGAGGTCACGAGACCGCCTAGAAACCCGGATAGCAACTGCTAGGAAGAAAAACTCGCAACTAAACTAAACAACTTGACAAGACCCCCACAGGGTAATAAAACAACGACTCAAACAACTAAAACAACTAGACAAGACCCCCCACGGGGTAATACTGGAGTGTCGGACCCCCACACAGTAATAAATTTGACACCCGGAAACACAGATGCCAACGACCCAAACCTAAAACACGATCACAAACACTAAACAAACACAAACAAGACAGACACAGAAACAGAAAAAACAACTATACAAAAATAGAGCCCTCTCCCAACGAGCAGACAAACCCAACCAGCAGTGGACGATCGACACAAGAAAGATCCCAGCCCGAGAATCCGCTACCGAAACTGCCTACTGCCTATACAGTCCAAGACACCGAGCCTGAACCGATTCCAGAATCGACCTATAGTCAACCGAAAGAGCCGCAATCACACCAGCCCCATCCGAACTCAGCAAGCTCGAAAGAACCCGGACCCCCGCCGCCTAACACCACTAGGTGGACGGGCACTCACAAGGGAGGTCTCACCCATAACCCCAACCACCACGCAACCAAGTCGCAGCGACCGGAGCCCTATCCCTCCCCTCAGAACGAGCGACGCACCAATCAACCCTGGAGCTCCGGTGACAAAAGCCCAGCTCCACCGGAGCAGGTAAACCTGTCGGAGAAGAAACACCCAATCGACAGCAGAGAAGGGGAAATTGATCGGGCGTACCCTCCACCGAGCAGCTCCCACCGGTAATTGAGGTGGAGACCTGAACCGCCAGCAAAGCGCCGCACTTGGAGGTTGTCGTCGCCAACCGAAGCCATCTCTACCGCCGATCGACCGAACCCCGCCGCAGAACACCAAGGCTTAATCGGGCCCACACTTTCCAGTGGAGGGCCAGACGGTCAAGAACGACCCCTGGCCGTGGCGTTGCCGTCGTCGGGAGAGGCGTAGCGGACAAATTGCAGAGAGACGAGGAGAGTGGATTTTTGGGGGTAGGGTTCACAGAGACGATAACTTTTTTTTGAAGGTGAATATCATATAACTACTTGAAATATAAATATATTAGTTTGATAAATAATTTTATTTTTCTAATTAATATTAAAATTATTATTATTATTATAAAGATAAATAAAAATTATTTTTTTTTATACACACAATATGGATGTTAAATCGAAGCTCATCAATATATGATTAATTTGATATATTATATATGTAAAATTGATAAAAAATACAAAAGTTATTAACTTTTAAAATATATATATACAATTCAATAGTTATAATAAGAAATGATATTAAAATGCAATTAATACATGTAACATGACCATAAACAATCAACATATTTTTGATAATCCGAACCTAATTATTTTTGGGTTGGAATTAAATTAAAATTTACCAAGCCTACTAACGAAACATATAATTTTGCCATATAAGATCCCGAAACATGCGAATCTGCCACTTAAGCTCAATTCGTTCTGAATTAATATATAAGGGGATATGGGGATTTAATTTTTATCGGCCATATATTTCAATTTTGAGCGTATGCATAATAAAAATACTGCGCCTAATTGTTAAATAATCTAAAAACAACGTTATTTAAAAAATATAGTCAGCCAATCTTTAGCCCAATTATATCCTTAGGACACTCAAATTTGCTACTAAATTTAATTTATATACATTTTTGAAATGTATTTAGTTTCTTTGGTAATCATAGATGTATTTAGAGAAAATTACCTCATACACTAGAAAGTTTAATTTTAATTACATAAATTTATCAGTGTAAAAATATTAGCATTATACCAAAAGATCAAGTTTATATTTGCCTCTTACTATGATATGGTTGCTATCAATATTTGAATTAAATAATCAATTAGTAACTAAATTAATGAGAATCTTATCAGTTCAAAAAACGGTTCCCCAAGACATATGGTAAGAGGGATATCTCTCACGACTCATTAATCGCCCACCGTCCACTAGTCCACTCTCTTCAAGACAATTTCATCCCCGTTCTCTCTCCCAAAAACCCCGAACTGCAAACCGAAGGTCAATATCTAAAAGAATCCCAGAATAAATGTGGCGAATAAAAGCCCGCTCCAACATCTTCCGGCAACATCCATAAAATTTCACCGGCAAAGAAGCGACCATGGAGGAATAAAAAGCATGACATTTTCAAAGACGAAGGTCTTGATTTTGTTGAAGACAAAGAAATTGACATTGAGGAGATGTAACTTGACGAAGGATTTGTTGAAAGAGACGACCCGATGGAGAAAAAAATAACGGAAAAAATAAATATGTATAATATGGAGAAAAAAATAACGGAAAAAATAAATATGTATAATAACATATACGTTATATAAACTAAACATATATAATTTCGTATGTGTAAACATTATGTATGATAATATATACGTTGAATAAATTAAACATATACAGTTCATATGTGTAATATATACGTTATACTAGGGGGTAATGTCGTGCACATCACGGCCAGGCCCACGATTTGTGCTGTTAGTTTTTTTGAATAATACTTTTTGAATGTTTTTTTCACTTTATTTGTGGATTTGTTTTTCGCTATTTAACCTTCTTGTTGAGTTAAAGAATTGTAATTCTTTTCGTTTGAAATTAAGTATGTTATGAGTATCTAACTAATTTCCACATATGTTTGTTTTGCCCAACAAATGCAACCAACAAGCTTCTAATGGTTTTCCAACTGCGACGCCTTATCTATATACAACAAAGAAGAATTAGTACTTTGTAATTAAGCCAGAGCCGGTCCCGAATATTATAAGGCCCTGGGCCAAATACAAAAATGATGCCCGAGTATTATTTAACAAAAAAGTGATAGAATTCATAAATCATAACCCATTTCTTTTTTTGAAAAACATTAAATAATAGAATTATATAACTTAAAATAATAAAATGCAACCTCATGACAAAAACTAGCAACTACAATAAAAAAAAAAATCATTGTACCCATAAAAGATAATGATATTATGTCCCAGTCTAAAAATAGTTTTGTTTTTTCATTTAATATACTAAATATATTCAAATATACATTAGACATACTTTAAACTTCATTGAAAAAAAATTAATTAGTGAAGCAAATTTAAATTATTAAATGATTAAAATTGCTATCAAAAAATAATACTATAACTTTTTAAAAGTAAATTATTCTATAATAGTTTGTTTTAAAAGGAAATAAGATGAATAGGGTACTTTTTTTTTCAAACATCAAATAAGTAAATAGGTTACAATAATATAATAATATGAAACATATTATTAAAAGAGAGGGAGACTTCGAAATATAGGGTAGTGTGCGTGAATAAATGTGGGTTCCCCTTACTGAATTGGGTTGGTCATTATTGTCTTTCTTTCTTTGTCAAAAATAAAATGGAAGTGAAAATAAAAGGGACATTATATATGGGCCGGTCTGGTGCCCTAGATTGAATTGGGCACTGGGCTGTTGCCCAGGTCGCCCTGGGCCAGGGCCGACCCTGAATTAAGCTTGTCACTCTAAGTACAATACTACCATTGCTTAAGCAATACAGAACTTGTAAATACAAAAATTGTTTGATATATTTTTTGTTCTTTCATTTTTTTCCCTTCAGTATCTTGTGTGGGCACAGGTTTTACAATGTTTTGAAAAACTGAAAATGGCCATATATATGTTCACTTATAATATATGTTAATATTAATTCACAACAATTCTCTGTATAGAACAGTAATTCTACTCAAATGAAACCAAATTTTTTTTTTCTAACCTTGTAATTCATAAAGAAAAATATATTACTCACTTTGTAATTACCCACTTTGTTGGACAAATGAAAAATTGGTGTTTGTATTGTCCTAAAGGTTGCATCATTTCATTGTCCTCAACCCGACTCACCTACTTTTTTTTTGGTTGTCCTTGTGTAAAATTGTGATCATATAGATTGATGTAGCAAAATCTTCCAGCAATTACATTTTTAACCCTAAAAATCACAATTTAAGATAAAAATATTGTCGGATTGAACACCATGGTTTCAAATTCCAATTCGAATCCACCAACCAGGCTCAGCTCGTGCGAACCCAGGGCTCAAATCCTCAGCCGAAATTTACTAGTTGCCTGCTAGCCATTCTGTGTTGCCACTCGTCGGTGACTTTGAGCCACCATCAAGTCGGGCCGCTCTCAGGTCTTTAGCCCACAATCGAGCCAAAGTCGGTGAAAGTCGGACCGAAGTCACCATCATATATGAGATCCAGATGTCGTGTAGCCGCATCTCTCTCGCCGTCGACCCCGCGAGATTGGCCGCCGTTAGTCAACTACCTCAATCTCTTGTTACACAATGTGTGTTTTGAATTACAACGGGAACCTATAAACTGAATGAAGTGTCCAGTTCGTACAAAAGAACTAAAACAAAAATTAAATTACAACTCAAACGCGGAGAGATTGAAGCCGAGGCGATTGAAATCTATCCGCAAGACAAATGCGCCCCGTGTAGTGCTGAGGGGTCTGTGCGTAATGCCCCCAAAGATACAACGGCTAAACAC